CCTTTGGAGTGGACTTTGAGATTTGTAACTTTCTAGATCTTTTTAATGCCCAAACATACACACTACACACTGACTAAAATTTAAAAAAGTGAAAAAGCATAATAGGACCCCGTTAAGGGTGATTAAACAGATAACAATAATAATTTAGTCAATATGAAGTCAAATAAACTCACTAATTATTTGTTTTTCCTTTGCTTGGAACAGAGCATTTCATGTGATATTGGAAAGTTCTACCAAGAGGTCCACACCCAAAAGTTGAGTCTGTGCAAGAAGATATTACATCAGAACTCTTATCTTGACAGCTAAATCGACATTAGTGTCCTGTCCCACAGACATTATACTGAGACATTTAAGGTAACGCTTCCCTCAAATTATTATGGTTCTTAATTTGAAAACTGTTATGTAATGTAAATTTTTTTAGTCAATTTAGGTTTGTGTTAACCATGCTGTGTCTGTAATTAAACTAAATAAATGAATGTAAGCTAATAAAAATTATGTTTGATAATAAAAATGATAAAGCAAAGAGCAGAAGTGCTGCTATGGTTTCTGGGCCCCCTGAACACCATATTGACTCGGGCCCCCCTCGGAAAATCACATTCTGGGGTTAATTTACAGTAAAAAACATAATCCTGTTTGTTATCAGTTGTTTATATTTATTGCATTATTTTAGTGTTATGTCATATTCTATGTTTGTATTTACTTCAGCTTTTGAAAAAGCTACTTGTGATAAATTGACTTGACTGTGGTGGTAATCAGTATTTGTTGAAGGTACAAAACAGATTTTAGTAGCAGCATGGGCTGAAATGGGCTGTTGTTCTTATAGGTTGTTCTGTAAATATTACAGAATTATTCTGGCAATCCCAGTTGCAAGAATCCATGATAACTGGATAAAACTGTACGAATATTAAATATTAATTTGTTTCATTCATTCAAAGGGTTGTGACGGTGAGGAAATTTTCCCACCGGTTAATCGACGTGTGACAACACCGGTAATACCGGTATCATCGTGGTTCCCTCTTTTCCTCGCTTTCCTTCGCTTTTAAATAGCTTTTAAAAGCGGCCTGCGCATTTTACTTTCACTTTCAAATAGCGGCAATTCGGCTTAAAGCAATTGTTTGTTTTTAGTTTGTTTGAATTTTCCCTATTTACCTTGCTTTCCTTCGCTTTTAAATAGCTTAAAAGCGCTGTGCGCATTTTACTTTCACTTTCGAATTAGTATTTCAATCGCTTGAGGTATTCGGCCAATCACAACGCACTGGATAGCTGGCCAATCAGAGCACACCTCGCTTTTTCAGACCGATGAGCTTTGTAAAAATCGACGCGTTTCAGAAGGCGGGGCATAGAGGAGAATCAATAATGTACAGTATGTGGAAAATAATGTGTTTTTTTAACTTTAAACCGCATAAACACATTTCATTACACCAAATACACAAAATAATGTTCTTTTTAGCAGCATCATATGACCCCTTTAAGACTTGTCCACGCTCGTTTAAACACGCCCCCACATGTCTACGTCACTGTGTGGGAAGATTTGCATAACACCGCCCAAATGTTCATGCAAAGAAACTTTTATTCTCGCTGTAGTATTGTTGTTGCCGCCGGCACCATGTTGTGGAGATACTGTGTGTTTAATTGTGAAAGCGAAACTACTTCCAAAAGAGGACGATATCCGCTTCGTCATGCCTAGAGCTGATCCGTGCTGGTCGCTGAGAAATAAATCAAA